TCCCCCCCCCCCCCCATCTCTTTGCGCGCATAAAACGTGCATTTTACCTGCCACATTTGAGGTGGCATTAACAAGTAATGGCATCGCAATCACGTCACCCGTTTTTAACACGTTACATGAATGTGTGTGCCTTAACAAACCGAAAACTATGAACGTCCTGTTAGCCTCATTCACGCAGTGTCTGCAGTGACATTTTGAATGGTACTCCAACACACTAAAGAAAACACAGTTCCAACACGTGTTGCAGCACATCACGAGGCATTATAACTTACTACGGTGTGCTGTGTTGCCAAAAAAAGTGCATGTTCATGATTTGAACATGTTTGTGCATAGCCAACCCATTCATTTACATAAGTTGCCACAACCCAATGCACATGAACGCATGGAAAGGGGCACTGTCACAACGTACCAGGGCACCAAAGTCTGAACAGGCCCTAAATGAACTAATTGAAGGAGTTTAAAGCGCACAGTGGATTCCTTTGCGTCCACTATTCTTTTTAACCTCTCCACAAATTGGAAAAAACGGTTTAGAAGAAAATGCAAAATGAGTGAGAGCCACAAAGTCATCCATACTTCATACAGCCAAATGGAAACATTAAATGGGCCAGAAAACATGGTAATCTGTAAAAGAAATCCAGAAAAATGTGTTCTGTGGGGAGGAAAATTGACAAATGTACTTTCATGCCCTCAATTCTGAACAAAACTGCAAGCACCAAGAACATTTGGAATGAATGGTCTTCTTATAGGGCAGACTTTGAGATTCATTGAAACTCCAGGATAAGCAAAATACTGTCAAAAAATACAAGGGGCATGTGTATTCTTGCTTGGATCTCTGTGTGCTTTATGTATTTCTTTCAGAACTATGCAGAAAACCAGGCTTAGTCTTTGTGCAGGAGCTTCCTGTAGGAAGACCAGTCACTGCTGCTCTTTACTTGTGGAGGGAGACTGGTCCAGTACCCAGTACCGCCATTGGGATGTGCGGGATCCCTTTGTGTGTTCCTGTGCCTTTAAGGGAGGTCGGTCTTCCTCCTGACAAACCTGCACCCAATTTGAAATCTTCTGCCCCCATGTGCTCCAAGATGGAGACTCTCATAGTTTAGAGTTAGGACCGCACTATAAGAGGTGCCTTGGCGCGGCAGTGCAGCTTTCACATTTTCTGCAGAAGACGTGTATCCAAACCTCTGTTATTAACCTTAGTGGTGAGACAAGTTTTTTTACATGCTGACTTGAGTGTGCCATGATACCTTTCTACTGGTCCAGTACCCACCCCCTCCCTACAGTTTTCTACAAGCAGCCTGTAATCGTGGACCTGCTGTGTCCTTCCCACCCCTCTGCTCAGGCTATGTGCAGTACAGTAAGATATCATCACTACTTTTACAAAATATTTAGGTTTGTAAAGGAATTTGGTGCACACAAAAGTTGATGTTTACCCCTTTGTGGCTATCAAGGAATATATCTAAATGGATGTTTTTAAGCCTCAACCTTTACCCCAGGAAACATACATCTTTCTACATTAAAAGCTCAGCTGGACAAGGTTTATAAGCAGCAAATATTTCTTAATGAGATAATGTGACCCTGCCCATGCAGGGCAAAATAACAGTGTCTTTGTAAAGGCCTCACACCCCTTGCTTATACTTGTCAGAGCTCTGACACAGCTAAGACTAAAATTACCGGTCAGCGACTGTTAGTAGTGTTACAGCCTCGGTCCTGTCAAAGTGCTCAGATCTAGTGATTGGCTGCAATACCCGAGCACTGTCACATGGGAAGGAGGGTCACATGCCCCCATATTAGGAAGCACCAGGTATTGCTGCCTGCTATGACCCAATAAGGAGTGGTGGGGGAGCACTGGAAATATGGATAAGTGTGTCGGGGGGGTTGTGGATGGCGGGTTGTCGTTGCAGTCCTTCATAAAGACATACCGTATATACTCGAGTATAAGATATTGTTCAGTGCACTCTATATGTAGTATATAGTATATAGTACGTGTATATATAGAGTGCACTGAACAATAGATTTACAATTATCCTCTGCTAATATGAATGGGTTAAATGATCCGTAGTACATGATATGTAGCCCTGTACCCCCTTTTCCACTTACAGAGCTAGGTTATTGTTTTTCTTTTAAATAAATATTCATGTAATTTTATTGGTATCTATCTTCATTTTGTACATTTACCAGTAGCTGCCTCATTTCCCACCCTCGGCTTATACTCGAGGCAATACTTTTTTCCCAGTTTTTTGTGGTAAAATTAGGTACCTCGACTTATATTCGGGTCGGCTTATACTCGAGTATATACGGTAGTCACTTTGCCCTGCATAGTAATTTCCCAATACTGCACAAGCAGAATAAAATGCACATATGAAAAAATCACTTAGGGCCCTATTCATACTGTTGCAGTCTGGTGCATTGTGTTAACCCAGGTTATGCCACATGCAACCTAATAATTCCTTCGAATAGGTTGGTAATGCACCAGACCGCACTAATAGTTGGACATGCACCATTTTTTTTGTGCAATGCCTCCTTTACTAAGGGGAGGCAAAGATCAACAAGCACAATTCCATAGGGAAATTCTTGACTACATACTACCGTGTGAGGAGCTTCAGGTCCAAATGCTACCATGTGTCTTAGAAAGTGAGCACGAGTTTTAGTGGAAACGCTCAAATCTTTCCTCTACTGGAACTGGAGCTAGGCCCCCCCTTTTGTGTCCTGTACTGTACGATTAACAAATGTCACTGCATCACAAAAAACATGCATCGCCTCACTACAATAGTGTGAAGGGTCCTCATGACCCTTCACCCTCATGCGTTGAAGGGTCACCGTAGTGAGCCTTCACACTATTGTAGTGAGGCGATGCATGTTTTTTGTGATGCAGTGACATTTGTTAATTATGTAAGGGACATATACATTCATAGGAACACAGAACACACCTCAAAAACATAAGCAAATGGCTAAATGTAGTTTTCACAGTTTATACTGGCTTAAACAACCTCCTGTTCAGCGGACGTATCTAAATGGACAGGCGCTTTGTAGATGCGGGTGGGCGTTTTAAGGCGTCCTTCCCCACCCCCACTGGGGCACGGCGCCCAACGCATGCCCGAGTGAGAAAACTAGGTTAAACGTAAACAGCCGGCAATCGCTTTTTAAATACAAGCGTTCCGGCATCTGTAGAGAAGCCTGATCGCTTGTATTTTGTGCCGCTGGTCCAGAGATACGCTGTGCCCGGTGCGGGCCGGGACGGCACTCTGCCACCGAAGAACTAAGGGAGTTCAGTACATGATCTCCCTCTGATCTCCTCTACGGTGTCAGAATGCAGGAAGTGATGTATATTACATCACTTCCCCACTCAGCTGTCATTCTCGGGCTATAGAAGCCGGAGAGAAGCTGGTGAAGCAGGTCTCTGCTTCATTAGCTTCTCTGGGGTCCCCGGGTGACAATAGGAGTCTTAGAGACCCCTAATGTCTCAAGGAGGACCTGTCACGTACATTGGCTATCACATTGGAGGCTTCTTAGCCCCATATATGATCGCAATAAAGTGTAAAAAAAAAATATATATATATAATGAAAGAAGCATACAAAAAAAGAAAAAAAAAACCTTGCTCCCACATACACGCATACATGCATCAGGTGCGTCTATGTGCGAAAATGACGATTGAAACCATTGTGCCACAGGTTACATAATCGCTGCAAACGTCAGATCGTGAGCAATAATTCTAGGGCCATTAATCACTGATAACACTAATCAGTGATTTTAAAGCGTCACCTATGGTCGATTTTGCGGGCGGGCGCAATTTTAAAGCTTGACATGTTTTGTGTCCATTTACCCGACGTGACCCCGTCTTTTATATTTTACCAAAACATTGGGGTGATATAATGTAGGGAAACAGTTTTTTCTTCAAAATGTCAGTACTTTTTTTTGTTATATAGTAAAAAATAAACACCACCAGTGTGATTAAATACCACCAAAAGAAAGCTCTATGGGGTAATTTAGCAAAACTGGAGCAGACAAAATCTGGAGCAGTTGCCTATAGCAACCAATCAGCTTCTCTCTTCAGTTTGCTCAGTTAAGATTTTGTCCCCAAAATTAATTTCAGTACAGTGTTGTAAGACTGAATGAATGTCAAAAGTACTGCAGCGCTGATTACTAAAAAATGGCCTGGCCAGGAATGGGGTTTAACACCCTGGTCAGCAAGTGGTTAAACAATACATATAACTGAACCCAAACCATAACTGATTAGAACTGAAAAACAGCTTCCAGATGAATTAACAGGTCATTCACGAGAGCAGACTACACAAACAGATCCTACAGTGTTCTATGAATACCTTTTTGCGGTGCTCATATCCATTGGTTCGTCTCCAGTCGGTACCTCCACTTTAATAGTTGCTTTCACCTCCCCACTTTTTAGCAGACCAGGAACTTTGCCAGACTCGGTCTTGATCATAAGATCCCCATCTAAAAGTCCTTTCTCCAGTTTGATTTTTTTATTGTCTACGTCATTTTGTGTCACCTCTCTTTCCAAAGCCCTTTTCTGGCTACGTGTCCGGCATGCTTCATCTGCCATAGTGCTGATCTGCAAATACATGTCAAATATATACACATTACTTTAATACAGACACGTCAGATAATTCTTGGCAAAACAAAAAACATTGCATAAATTGTCTTATGTTAAACAGTGCACCTCAATTAGACAATGGTAAATTATAGACTGGTTACATGCTTTTGAATAAAAGGGAAGATCTATTTAATCCTGAAAAACGACACGACTTAACCTGTATAAACTTGTACAAATCAGAGAAAACATTCGGAATGACAAGGTGTCCAAAAGGTGTAAAAAAGGTGCATACAAAGCCATGAAATCTAAATGTGCATGCATATGAAGATCCGTGGTTCAAAAAGATATTTGAAAATTTTGCAGAAAAGCTGCTCTGAAGTGCCCATCAGACAGGTAGAGACTGAGAGGTAAAGGGTACAGATGATTGTGAGGCAGGGATTTTAAGTTACACGAGCTGCATTTTCTCCTCCTGCACAAAATATGGGAAATCTGGAGTCGTATTTGATTTCATGACTAAAGTTTGTCACAGTTCTACCGATAGGCACCTTGTTTACAGATTGTACCTTTCTTCCCAAATCTGAGGTTTACCCCTGCTCATTACAGACCGGAATTGTATTCCAGTTTTGAAAAGGGGATAGAAGACCCCAGGTGGTATTAGTAGTGACATCAAGTCCCCACGTGACCTCTCATTATTTTCCCAGGATGCTGCTGGAGACACAAAAGCACTTTCTGGAAAACCGGCCTGAACTGGTTCCAGACAACGAGAACTGCAAGTGGCGTTCGGCATTCCTGTACAGAGTCCAAGAGAGCATCACTCTTAAAGAGACAATAAGTTGCTGATGAGTTTTTCTCTTCACCCATATGACTAATACACATACAAAACACAGACATACACATGCATGTATACATCTTCCTATAATAGTTTGTGCACATACATCAGTTTTTGCATCACCTGCCTTCTTTCAATGCAAGGATTTCAAAAGTAAACCAGCACTGAAAAGACTGAAGGCATGAATGGCAGACCTACTTCTGAAAAATACTAGTTGCCTGGCTCTCTGGATTCAATACTTTATAAATTGAAGCATTAAAAAGCAGATTAGAAAGAGTCAAGCCAGAACTATTTATTCCAGAATATTCGGATGTTTGCAAAGGCGGCAAACATATTTCTCAGCACAGGTTTTTCGTTAAAGTTGATCTCCAGGAAAGTTATTGAAAAAACAAACAATATACATCTACCCTTCCAATGGGGCTCCCCTAGCACTGCGATGGTTAAATACTTATTTTGACTCATCTGCTTTTTAGTATCTTAATTTAGAATGTATTGAATGACTTGCCATATTCTCTGCTTCCATGGCAGCCAGAGTTATCCTCCTCCCACCTCCACATTCTGGATTGTGGACAGGCCCTCTGTGTCCTCACAATGCAGGAGTGCCGGTCTTGCATTGTATGTGATGACATCAGAATACAGCCGACAGACAGGGCACAGACGAGAAGTGGCTTTGGGGGACTGGTTGAAAAGAGAAAAAGGTGGCTACATGAGCATGGGGTAAAAGTGCCTTTAAATGGTAACGAAGGGGAGCAACACTGCACTGTAGTTCCACTTTCTTTGGTCCGGCTTGCCCCAATCTAAGTATGCATATAATGTACCTGATCACTGCTGGGCATTGAATACAGCGCTGTAGGTGCCGGAGCAACTACACCGCAATCGTCCTGGTCCTGTGCAGAGCAGCTTCCCTTCTACTCTGAAAACACAGGAGGAAGAGTCACTCGATCAGCACAGCGGCCATTCAGAGACTGCCTAGTATTTTCTATCAATAAAAAAAGGGCATTCTCTGATTGGATGAGGGGTTGTGACATCACAATCTGCCCCTCATCCTCAGTGGATCCATTGTATCTGTTTTAAGAACAGTTTACATGTCTTTACTTGTCATCACAGAGCCCCCATGCAAGGTTAGCTTTAACCGTAGACATTTCCCCCATCACCTATCGTAACTATGCCCAAGGATCTTGCTTGTCAAGCACAACTGTACCTTAAAAAAGTGTGTGTATGTATGTATGTATAATTTTACACATTACATATGCACACACATATATTGTACAAACATACATATACATCTTACTAATGAAGGGGTTAACCATCATGGATCATGTGATTGTTGGAAGACATTTATTTGGAATCACCACCACACCCATCCCCGGGGGCAGCAGTGCATCTTGGCAAAGGTTGTCCTAATGTTCATTTATAAAACAGATATGAGTCATTGGTAACTTCAAGTACCAGCTCTGGGGAGCATGCAATGCATTATTCAGAGAGAAAAAGCTCAGTTAAGATATAGTTTCCAGGTAGATATACATTTTTTTTTTTCCTTTGATGGACGTTACACAAGTCCTGTTATTTTTAGTCTACAGAATTGAAAGCAGCTACACAAGTCCATGTGGTGTAAGATGCAGGTCTGAGCCACATTAAACTTTCAAAACTGTAACAGCAGGAACCTCAAAACACGGGCTAGAATATTAACCCGAAAACACTCTGTGCAGCCTATCTGAAACTGATTTCAGACTGTTACAAAATGGACTTCCCAACTTCTGATGACACCATCTAATCCTCCCCTTTCCAATGAGAGCATCTTTATTGGTGTTTTCAGAAAAGGAGATGCAAAAGCTTAGTAAGTAGGTAAACAGGTGAGTCCAACAGTCAGTACACGGAAAACACTCTTCCTACTAAGAAAATCTATAAGCGTGTTTACTTTAAAGTCAGGTTGGCAGACAAAATGGTAACTGCTATTGCAGACCTCATTCTGAAAATGCTGGTTGCCATGTTGAACCACGGTCTTCCATATGTCCTTACCTGCACATCAGCTCTTTGTCAGTGGCTCTCAATATTGAAGCAACAAGGTCATCGTGGGACAGGTAATTTTCACAAGCAGCGACCATATTTGATAGGTTGCACCCTGTGGACCCTAGAGTAAGGACTATCTCTGCTCCTTGTGACTTAAAGGTGAACTCCAGCTTGGCCTAATGTACATGTTATACCTGATCACCTGCTGGGGATCGTGTGCAGCAATGTAGTAGCTGGAGCTGCTACAGCGCTGCCTGCAATTTTCCTGGTCCTGTGCTGAGAAACTTCCCCTCTGCTGTGGAAACGCAGGGAGTTGTTTGCTTGGCACGACGTCCATTCAGAGAATACCAGGCATTTTTAGCAATTAATACAAGGCATTCTCTGATTTGATAAGGGGTGGCTCGTGGTGTCAGCATCCCTGATCCAATCAGCGAACACCTTGTACATCTTGATAAAAATAGTAGGCATGCTCTGAATGGGCGCTGTGCTGAGCAAGCGACCCACAAAATATAGAAAATTACGCAGTTTATCATCCCAGGCAATGTATTGGCTATAAAAATCATAGCAGCACTGTTTTCAATACTAGGATGGTTTCTTCTATACAAGAAAGTTCAGATATTCCGGTCAACAGGCAAAATTATTGGTTTACCGGCTGGATGTAGATTGGGTATGTTTGGGAATTCCACACCTGCATAACAAACAGGGGTTCACTAAAGGTGCCCATACACTTACAATTATTGTTCAAAAAACAAATGTGATCGATCGCAATTACCGAACAAATTACCAAATTTGGTTGAACAGGCAGACTAGCAAAAAAAAAACTTTAGTCGAAACAGAGGGGAAAATTTTTTTTTTTTAAAACCGATGGATTAGCTGCGTTTTCCTACATCAAAAATGCAAGAACACTGCACATGCGCAAACATGTCGATCAACAAAATTCAGATAGTTAGTATTGCTGACAAACTATTATCAAATCTACATTGGTCTGTGCATGATGGGGTATTCGAGCGGAAATTGAACAGGGGTTCGAAGACGGTACAAAAAATATTTTGGGGGGGGGGTTCCACATTTTAAAAAGGTACATAGAAGCCACATTTCACCGTTTAAGATGCACAAATGGAGAACTCCTGACAAACAGCTAAACATAGTTGAATAAAATGCATGGTCACCATTTTACCTGCCAAGGGGTTTTTAATGATGTACAGCTACTGTGCTCTACGAAGTTCACCCTACTGCTTCTTTTATCAGCTACCTGCTAAATGGACACAGGTGACAATGATTATTTGTCCAATGAACAAGCTGGAGGTGGTGACATAGGAAGCTGAACCAGGAAATAAGTGTCACCTACCGGATTGCAGAGTGGCTCAGGTGTGCAGACACCAAGATTAGCTATATAGTTTTTACAAAATCCACATACACTCTGCTAGAGATCAAAAAGTGACTTCACCAGAGTAAAAGCCTTCCATGGCACCCTAATCAAACAGATCAGCATCACCAATCTTTACAGAAGTTGTGAAGAGCATATTATAAAAAGCAGATTTCTGCGTCAGTCCTTCCCCAAAGAACTAAAGTTTTTGTTTTTTTTTTAGAATGGTACAAGGTAAAACATCTTACTAATAACATTAAGAGCTGGTGCAGACCTTGGCGATCCAGGACGCGTGTCCTGGAAACACGCACAATTGCACACAGCGATTGCTGCGTGGCGCCATTGATTTCTATAGGGTTACATCCACGCAACAGTCGCAGAAAAAAAAAAAAAAGGTACACATACCTTTTTCTATGCGACACATGACGTGCGGCTGTTTTAGCTACAATCACAATAGATTGCACTAGCGGAATCGCACAATCAACCCGGCGCAACTGTGGTGCCATTAGAAAATAATGGCACCGCCAGAACAATTGGCAGTGGTGGGTGACTCAATGACTGCACGGCAATCCGTGCGGTATCGTGCACGACTGCCGCACAGTCACAGATCGCACAGGTGTGAACCTGGCCCTAAAAAGGAGAACTATGAGGTGAGTGATTTTCACTCAGCCTCATAATCTGAGCCGACCTGTGACAATGAAACTGTCATAGGTCGGCTCAGTAGATCGTGTAGTGAGCGAACACATACAGGCGCTCGCTCACTTCTCGTGACCGTCAGTGAAGGTTCCCTGCAGGGATTCCCTCCTCCCCTGT